TTATTTTTTATTGAGACTACAAGTCTGACATTTAATTTCAGTTCCTCTTTGTGGAGTTGTGTTTCAAACGTGAGGCCTTTTTTCATTATTGTCCTTTTTGTGCATGTGGAAATAACAATGTCGCTGCCAATAGACATGCGGCTGGTTCAATTTGATTAACTTTTTTGTTTTCCTTTTAAAATTGCTTTCCGTATTGTTTGTACGTATTCAGCTTAGAGGACTTTTATGAAATTTATGTTCACCAATTAATATTTTTTGTTACTGTTACTTCTACGTTTAATGAACAAACTTAAGCTCAACACTTTAAATTAGAGACTTAATTTGCTTTATGATGTTTTTTTGTGTTTTTGTGTCTATGTAAATCTTCGGTGTCAACTTTTCAAGAGTAAATCAGTGGCCCAGCAGGGATTATAATAGGGATGGTAAACTTTTTATAAAAAGTGAGAGAGAAATGTAACTTATCAGTAACTTAAATACGTTTTTGTGATTGAACAAGGAAAACTAATCAATTTTCGACTATGTTCAGGCATTACACTTTTTAAAGAAGTAACTTTTGTACATAAATGATTACTGACGCTGATAAGCTGAACTATCTTCTCATCTACCTTAAATTAAAATGAAATTTATATAATTATATAGTTGCAATTGGAGTTGGTTTTAAAGGTGTCAGAGGATCGTGTAAAAATCTATCTAAGTCTACTACTATATACAGGTGTGATGGGTATGCAATAGGTTTGCCAACCCTGGTCTACGCCGTTCCTACATTGAACGCTGTGTTTGCTTTAAAAGGTAGGCATGCACACAAATGTATAAGCACATGATAAATTCGCTGTGCAGTGCCCCGGGTGTTTCCGCCCCACTCGCTTCGGATGCATTCTCGTGCGATTGATCGTGTGAATACACCTTTATCCCCCGGTTTATTTTTTATTTTTCGTCTATTTATAGCGCTTTTTTGCATGCCACCTCTAGATGATAATCACTATCTATATGACACATAAGTGTGTAAGACTATGACACAATTCGTATACGAGTAACTTATCAACGCACGTGTATGCGTGGTTAACTCATGATTATATAACATTTATGATTTTCTCAAATGTACGAATTACTGTTTATTAATATTATTTTATTAATGCCCATAAAATATTAAGTTATGTATTATTGTTAAATTAATGCATTGCTCGTAAAGGTCAGGATTAAAGCCGTACAGATAACTTATGTAACATATTCATTGTCAGCAATTATTTATGCTACTTTTTTACTTTGGTCGAACGCACCGGAAAATAATAAAATGTTCGGCACCAGCAGGCTATTTAACGCTTCTTTTATTAACGTCACATTAATGTCAGTCTGTTCATAGATTATATCAGCCTCTTTAGACGGATCAAGTATTCGCTACGCTTTCGTAGCCGTAGACGCGTAAAATTGAGATAATTTTTCTCAAATAACCTCTCAATCTACGTGTGGAAATTCTGTTATATTTCACTTAGTTACATCTCTGATACTAGTGAAGAGATCTCTTTTATTCTGTCTTAGAATCTATTTAAAATTTTTCCATAATATATTTTAAAGTTCTTCCCTTGTGTTGGAACTTGGGATAAATTAAAAAATATCTGGAGTTTTTACAAAATATGCATAAAAGAATTCTTATTAGGTTTATCAAAATAAAACGGCCCAGTGTAAATTATTCTCTAGCGAATATGATGAATATGAAACGTGTATAGCAGTGCGCGGAGACCCGAGCGCAACCGTGCGTGAAATGGTCGACGTGTAGGGGCATTTTCAAAGTGACCTGACACCACTCTCGCCGAGGATAAATATGTTAGCACGACGAGTGTTATGTCGTGCCCATGCCGCTTTATGTATACCTTTCATTATCTGTTAATATAACTTGTTAATACGATACATTTTATTAAAAAAAAAAAAACATTCACGATTAGGGTCGACGTAAAGCGGGCACTACTAACAAGATAATTCACATGCCTTTTTTTTAGATGGGACGAACGCAGAAGGATGGTGATGACATTTTAATTGTTACTCTGGGCTTACTGAAAACTGAAAAGAGCTATTAGATTAACTGATTTCTTCTTCTTCTCGGCCGTGAAAGAAACGAGAAAGAGAAATTATTTACTAAATGAAAAATATTGAGGGTAGCGCTGATCAACTATGAGATTAGAACGTAAAACACTACAGTCTGTCCGGTGACACATATTCCATGACTACGTAGTGTTCGATCTAGTTTCGTCAGCGATACAACTCACTTCAACAACAACAAATTAGACGCGATAGAATTTCTAAAATTAACTTTATTTTACCGTGTAATATTCACGTAAATAAAAGAAACTATTACGACGATTTGACTTATTATACAACAATCGATGGCTCTGAGTACGGCCGACTGTGCTTGTGAATGAGGCATTTGTTAAAACATTAGTTGTAGAAATGCATTTTTTTATCCCATATCTTATTATTGGATCTACAATACCTAATCGCAAGGATAAGATTTGTCCGAGGAAATACTACAAAGGGCCAGCGTGGACTAGCAGTACATACTTCTGCGTTTCATTTGAGTGAGTTATACGGACTTTTAAAGATTGTAAACGCAACTACAATTTCCCAGATATTGTAGATGAACTCAAACTTGTGTTTCACATTTCGATACCCTTCGACATTTAGACGGAATAAAATAATTTTAGCATGCTTTTTAGTTAAAAAAAAGCCTATAGATGTCACCCGTAGCCATCTTGGTTGCCAGCAAACATCCAAGCAATTGAACTTCGTATTGCAGATGCTAGATGGTCTCGGCTACCTCACTTACCAGACGAAACGCAGAAGTAGAACACTTCCACCTCACATCGGTCTTCTGCGAGGTCGTGGTACTTCCCCGGACGGACCAGACCATTCGTGGAACAGCTTAAGTTTTCATTTCAATTCCCTACCAGATACACGGGGTCGAAGTTTCGGGCATAAATCTAGTCGTTATTAAACTTATTACATTCATAATAAAAGGGAAAGTTAGAATTAATAAACATTTTACATGCCAAGTGTTCAATCTCCTGAGTACGTATCCCGTATAAATATATACTTGGATGTAATGATTAACAGTGCCAGCGGTGTCGAATTTAATATAAACTTTTGCACTTTTATATTACAACCGCTTAGTAAAAGACACGTGCGCGCGCTAGTGAAATCGAGAGAGAACTGGAAGTTTTTATGACACATAAACATGAAGGACATCGTAACTTAGCAAGGTTCAAAAATATTTTTAAACATGTATCAATGTCATAATTTAATTTATTTTAAAATGCCAAACTGTCATCTGCCAGCCATCCCATTTCTTCGTGAAACATGAACTTTATGATTAATTACTCAAAAATAATAAAAACACGAAGTACTTGCGGTGACAGGCAGAATCCAAAACTCGAAAACGTAATTATTTGTAAAATCTTGCATATGTTCGAAATACAAAATATGTATATTATTTGTTAGTATGTGCGTAGATTCGGGGGCGAAAAATCGATTTAGTTAGGTTTCATTTTTAGAAAATGTCCTTTTATCCCTGTTTTCAGGGAATGAAAAATATATTTATATAATAATATTTAAAAATATAATATATATTTAAAAGAGTAGTTCTTGCCATGAAATTTCATTTTTCTCTGAAAAGGTTTTGTGTGAAAATAAGTCTGAATAGAACTAAAGCCTAATTCGACTTTGAAGTTAAAAGATTTGAATAACCAAGAAATACGTACTTGAAAAAAAATTACGGGACTTTAAAAAGATTACGGGAAATCTGAAAGATACAAAGTACATATTTTCACATAATTCGTTTTATATAATTTCTCTTTTTTATACTCCATTACTGGAAATATGTCGTACGGTGGAGTTACTTTTTAATATTTTAGGAAATCTTATAAAAATAAATTTACAAAAATATCACGTATCATTGATACGGGAATTCCCGGGCATTCGACCGGAAAATAGCCGACATAAAGGTCCGACATTCTGGTTCTGACCCGGGCGAGGGGAAGCGATAAAATATTATGAAAACCCATGCCGCTCTCATGCTGCAAGTGCTGTTATATCGATACGTATTATTGATGAAAAAAATACATTAAAACAAATTACCTGTTTCAACTGCTTTTGTCCTAAATTACTACGTTTACTTCGAATAAATAAAGGATAAAATATATTAGATCGGTACGGATATATCGATATTATTATAAAATTTGATTTATAATATTATACTCCGACCAGAAGTTAAAGCTACTTGGTGACTGATATTTTTTCCAAAATATTACTATTGTTATCAACTTATAACAAAAACCTTATTATAACAAGGGCCCGATCTTCGATAATATATTTAAATATAATCTGTCTGTCGGAAAAAGAGAAATATTTAAAAGTGAAACTCAGACGCATAAATAAAATGCAGAACAAGATGGCGTCAGCGTCGCTTGCGACCGGTGTTACCAGCAATTAATCTCCATTTACCGCACGCGCCAAATCGCGCCGCCATTACGGGCTCTGTTTTATTTCATTAAATGATCCCACCAAATTAATTCGCCGAAACGTTTACAAAAGATAGAAGAATCGGGAGATCGCCGCTTAGGACGAGCGTGCGCCTCTTTGTGTCCGTTTTTGATAAATGTTCAAGTCATTGTTAAAGACAGGGCGGAGGCCCAATCCAGTATGTATTCTTTTATACCACGTTTTTTCTAGTTTAACCATTGCTTTTACGGAAATTATTTTAGTGGTAATAGGTTAAAATTTCTGTAATACCGTATACAATTTCGAATACATAAAAACTGTACTCAATACGTCTGTATTTATTATTAATTATGTCCTCCAAGCAGTTAATGAATGGAGGTAGTAGACGGTCATATTGTTTTTAACATAAAGCCATGAAACTTTCGCTGGTTCGTAATAACTTCATTTATTAACTTAATAAAATGGGAAACGCTTAATTACAGGTGCGGACGTTATTCGTTAGCGGACTACCCATGGACGCGAAGCCACGGGAGCTCTACTTGCTATTCCGAGCATACGAGGTGAGATATATATACGAACTTTTATTATTAATATAAGTGCTGATATTTTAAGATCCCCCTTCCTCTACCTTAAACTGTGTGGTGGATGATGCGCTTACAATAAAACAATGTTAAGTTTGAAAGTTACTTCGAAAAATTTTATATAATTAATGAAAAGATGCGAAAATAGAAGTGTCATATACATACTTCACGAACTATTCCACCTTACCATTGACTTTATTTAAGCTGTTTTATTTTTAACATGCGCGACCGTCACACATGTGGCCATCATGTTCTGCTTAAATTTAATGTATTAAAGATAAATATGATGCAGAAACCGTATCACGCGATCACGCGACTGAGGAGATAACGGATTGGATTACTACGTCGTAAATATCAAATGTCATGCCCCAATACGTAATATTCGGATTGAATCGGTTCTGTCTGAAGATAAGACGGGGAATTACATTCGACTGACGGCTGGTACGGTTGGCACCGTTGGTACGGGCGGTCGGAGTTAAACGCGGATCGGTTTTACTGTATCGCGTGTTCGTACCCGTAACTGGTACGGACGAGAACCATTTTCGTGGGCAAATTGTGTTTTCCCCCTGATCACTCTATGACGTGTACCGCTCTATGACAATGGAAGCAATTTCGTAACGTGACTGAATTTTCCTTTCGCACTGGAAAAGCAATGGAAGCGTTGGCACGTTGGCTATTAACTACCTTCCAGTTTTGCCCTAGCAATTTCCTAACGCTACTTGTATGTCTATACACATATCTCTAAGCGGGAAATAATTTCAATTACCTTATACAGGGCTACGAGGGTTCGCTGTTGAAGGTCACCAGTAAGAATGGAAAAACAGCTTCGGTAAGTCGTATTTTATTAAGCTAACACTAACACTAGTACTACTTTAATGGATTTAAAAGAAGCATACTTATAGATATAAATATGGCAGTATTTTGCTTTGAAAGCACTCGTTTGTGCCATAGCTTTTTAAAGTAACAGCCTATACATGTCCCACTGTTGGGCAAAGGCCTCCTCTATACAGAGGGTATTAGGGCATAGTCCACCACGCGGCCCCACCGCGGATTGGCGGACTTCACATATCTTCGAAATATATTTTTTTGTTATTATTTCGAAAATATGCAGGTTTCCTCACGATGTTTTCCTTCACCGCGGAGCACGTGATAAGTCAGCACTTAAACTTAAAAACTTCATTGGTGCCGGCACCGGGAATCGAACTCGGGTTGCTCGAGTAAAATGAATTAAAGGCGAGTGCCCGGAAACTGAGCTATCACGGCTCTCCATAGCTTTTTATTCAAAATAAACGTTACTTTTTAATTATTTCCTTAAAAAAACCGAGACTTGAAATCGATTCATGAATAATTTAATTAATGATTTAAAAAAGTCAGCATCGATGGCACAGTTGTTATACTGTTGGTGCACACTTTTTTGTGTACGTAGTTCTTACGGGCATATCCCGGCGGAGTACATACATTTCAAGTTTTACATGGAAGTTACAGTTACAAGCGAGGATTCATGCAAACTTTCAGGTTCTACTACGCTCTCTCCTTTTCATTTGCACTCCTTTTTATTCGCTCGACGATATAGGGAGACTTGTAGTTGTAGCAATTTAACGTAGAAATCTATATCATTACGATTCAAAGGAATTCTACGGGAATTCGCCTATCAACATTCCGCCCGCTAAATCGTGAACACAAACGCGGAACGCACGTTATATGGGAGTCTGTATGAACTGCGAGCGGCCGGAACCTCACTCGTCATATTGCACGCGCGTCTATTTAAACTGGTGTTGGTTTTGATCCCGGTTTGAAGTGCACGCGTGCAAATGAATTGCACGCGAGTTTGCGAATTGCCGCCAGTAAAGTTGTTTCACTCAATGTACCGACGTCGGATTTATTAACGAATTGCACTCGTGTGTGCAAACTCTCCCGGTTTCAATCTTCCCCGGTTTATATTTTCGTATGATCTAGCGATAGCACGACTTGGGATTAAAAACGGTGGTTATTTTTGTTAAAGTGGTCGGATATATTAAGCGGTATTTCACATCATAAGAGGCGGAGGATAGCTTAGCAAATTGTAAAGTTTTTGATAAAACTATTCATGCATTGATTTCTTGGTGTTACGCGAATATAATACGTGGTTAATTCATTCACCAATTTTACAGATTTTAAGGCGTTTTCATTTCATTTTTAAATTGCCACGTATCGAACCCTTTCCACCGTTCATGGACATGGGCAGACTGACGCCCGCTTTCTGAAACACGGATCATCGTAGATGTCAACTAATTAGCCGTCAAATGGCTTTTCAAATGTCATTTGAGTTGCTTTAACGATGTTTAAACTGTTAGAATTGATCATTCTGATGATTATGAAGATCTTTCTGGTCAATTCAGAGAGTTTAACCAACCTTTTGTCGACTAAACTGCAATTTGGAAAGGCATTTGACAGATGATTAGTTGACATCTACGATGATCAGTGTTTCAGAAACCGGCCCTGAGTTGTTACACGTCTTAATGTCAGATGTAACCAGGGCTACCGTCAATAACATTACTATTTATTTTTATTCCAATCTACGCAAATGAAGCCTATGGTGTCTCGAGATCTAGCAGTGTTGGTGTGCTTAGTTTTTGCTTTTATACATTATGGTTACAATCCCTTTCATCAGCTTGGATCCCAAGTCGGGAATTTAAAAATCAATTTAAAACGCGATAAACTCCGTAAAATAGTTTCATTTAACAAACTATACATTCATTGGTTTAATTTTGGTTTTATTGTGCGCAAAAGTATGATCATTAAATTAATTAAAAATATAATAATATTAAAATTAGTAAATAAATATAGCAGTAATTAAAAACATTTTAACAAATGCCGCTACGTACTGAAAGTTTCAAATTAGCCGCAAAACATACTGTACGCGGCTATACAGATTTTTTTCAACAGCTAAAGAATAACCACATATATTTCGAGCAATGTCATCTTGGTGTTGTGTTTTGAACATCCCATAGAGTGATAATTAATATATTAAACATAAATTATATTTATCATTTTACAAAAAATTCAAATACGTCTCTAAGGTCTTTATGTTATCTTACCTGTATTTATAGAGTTTGTACGGGTCACTTTTTAAATAAAAATATACACCGTAATCTCATCCCGTTTAAAAAATCCATAGTTTTGAACGACGCGTTTATTAAAGCGAGTCTGAAATAACGGAATCGTATGGGAAAATATCCAGGTTTCAAAAAATACTAACTTAATTAATGGCACATATGCTATTGAATAGTAGTACGAAATATGAGGTTTTTGTAGGTTTGTTACCTCTACGTGATATTTACATGTTCTATTCATTTGATCAAGTAAACAAAAGACCGGTTGTTCCATCGTTTGAATATTTAATATATTAAACTAATGTCACTTAGTTATCCCATTTAAAAAAAGAAAGGCCGGCAATTGCGACCTCAACCGATGTTGCAAATGTCCATGGGCGGTGGTGATCTCTTACCATCAGGTGACTTGCTTGCTCGTTTGCCTCTTTTTTCCATAAAAAAAAAACACTCAAATTGGAGTTTAAAAGCTGAACCACATGATAAATTTTCCAAACCACTGTATTTTATTATTGAAATGTATTTAAAAGGTTAAACTTATTTGCAGCCGGTGGGTTTCGTCACCTTCCACACCAGAGCAGGTGCTGAGGCTGCCAAGCAAGATCTTCAGGTTGGTATCACAACTGCTCTCTAGCTTCATTACTTATTCTTGCGTTATTAATCGTCTAACTACTTAAATAAATTAACCTTTTATTAGCCTAACTTTTTATTAGCAGATGTTTTCCTAGGCTTCTTCGTGTATTTAAACAACTGTACGTAATAAATAACGGGAGTAATAAGCGTTAAAAGTCTGTGGACCGTTAGCATCGTTGAAATAAAAAAAGAAACACAGTTAAATTAATTAGACCGTAAAGTGCAGCGCCACACTGTATCGGGAAAGCATTCATTCTATATCTTCATGCAAATGTCACTGGAGGTCTTTGAGAAGTTGAATTTTTCCGTAGTATTTGTTAAATAAGATCTACGATTTCACACAAAAATTAAACAATTTTTATTTATTTACACGAAGTTAAAAATATTTAACTTTACATCTTTCACATACAATAAATATCAAGGCTGAAACGTAGATAAATATGTAAAAAATAACTTTATTTTATTTTTATTATATTATTATGTTAAAATTTTAAGCGAAAGTTGTTCTTTTAGACGACATATTAAAAGACAAAATAATAGATTTGTTAGTGTATTAATGAAATGACTTCTTATACGGATTAGTTATTAATGGATTACGTTATTTGTAAATACTAAAATCGATTACAACGCACGGTGTTACTAAACCTCTTCTCATCACATGCCTCAACACAGCCAATAAGCACAATAGTTAATATTCTCATTGTAGACTTGAAATAACATTTTCCTAACTCGAATAATCGCATAGTAAGTTATGCTAAACTCATGCACATATTCCCCTTGGTAACGTATCGGGATGAAGTGCGGTCCGACACCGGCGTTCGATCGACGACAGTTTGACGGTGTAAATATGCAATTGCATGTCACTGTTTGACAGGTTTGACGTCACACCCCAAGCACTGTGTTCCGTCACATTAGCAGCCGCGGGCGCGATCGATGGTACCCAAAATCGTATCGGTCAATCGTAGGGGTTCCGTCACGGGAGAGCAGCACTGTAATGTCGTACCAAGCCGAGACCGAACGCAGTAGCCCCCCCCCCCCCCCCCCCGCGTCCCCAACACGCAAGTGTCACGGCCTTCCCCCAGCGGTTATATACGCGACCCGCTGCGGGGCCACGCGGCCACCGACCCCTCCATCGTCATTATATCGGAGCGCCGCACCGCTCGCGGCTGTTCACAGCAGGGCGTCCGGTTCGACCCCGACATGCCGCAAACGATTCGGCTGGAGTTCGCTAAAAGCAACACGAAGGTCAGCAAGCCGAAGCCGGCAGTTGCCACAGCCGCGCCAGCCGCACACCCCGCATTGATGCACCCACTCACTGGACGTAAGTACCGCCGAACGCACACACCGCCCGCCCCCACTCGACTCTCCTCGCACCCGTAACGGTCCGCTGGGGAGACCGCTTCACTCACTCCCAGTCGCCTCTAGCTCCTTTTCGAGACCAGATGCTAGTCCACTTCGGCAAGGGCCAGTTTCTTATTTCCTAGTTTAATTTTAAGTCTAAGTTTAATTTCCCGATTTTTCGTTGTATTTGTTTTTACATATTTACAATCAATAAACACATTGACGAGTTATAGAGTCGAGTGAGAGCAATTTGGGGCAAGTATCTGTTACCGCTTACACGTACCACGCAAAGCCTAGCTCTGTGAAGCTAATATCTAAATATGTATCTATCGGGCTCTATTACACTGTAAACTATTATATTTACCCGTTTTCATGCTAATATGGTCTATCCTTTTATAGTGTTAGTGAGAATAATATACGAATGAAAATATTATTAACATTTATCTACAATACTGAGCAGTTTCACTTATAGGTCAACAAATTTGTCTATGTTTGGAAACATGTTAACATTATCTACGTTGTAAATACGATTATACTAAATTATATGAAGCTGACAAAATATACCAATACGGAAATGATTTGTACACCTTATTTTATTACACAGATATTTTATATAACTAGAACAGTCTAAATAATATACATGGGACCCATATGAATTTGTTAACAAAAAGCTGACAAACATTTCCTACAACACCGATTGTGTTTGTTGCTTCCTGTATTTTGTGGATGAGGCTATTTTTTCGAAGAGTTGTTTGATTAAAGTTATTTGGGTTAATAGACTTAGCGAGCCCGTTCTTCCCGGGCGGAGGCGCCGAGTTGTGGCACCACCCGCTGGCGTACGGCGGCGAGCTGCCGACCTTGTCCCACGGACTGGTGCATCCCGCCATCCACCCACAGATGGCGCCGGTGCGCTCCTACCTCTGACTAGCTGCCGCCGATAGGCCACACCACGTAAGAAACACCTGTACACACGCCACCGATTTGTTGGCCGTACCTACAGTATAGTCAACGATCATCGGAGTCACGGTCTGTACCGAAACTCGATGACCCATAGTCGATATACATAGATGTCGCACGCATGAGCATATGCGCGGCCCTTACCATAGCGGAGGGTAGTATTTACAGCTAGCCCAAGAGTTCTATCGTATGTACTGATAGCAAAAACATCAGTTATATACAGACACAGAACAATATTCCGCCTTCATGATGGACTTATTTGCGCGGATAATTCATAAAAAACTGTTGCCTGTTTAAAAATTTGATGAAGTGTCAAAAGATGGCAGCTAATTGTTGAACTAAGTGATTACCGCTATCCATGTACATCTAACGAGTTGTTTACTTTGCTAACTATTAAAAAAGTGGCTCCCGGTTTAACGTTCCACTTACCAGACGAAACGCTGAAGTATTACACCTCGACTTCACGCCGACCTTTTGTAAGGCCGTGGTACTTTCCCGAAAGAGCCTGCCAATTCGTGCAACAGTAGCTGCTGCGTGGTGCCACTGTGCCTGAATGAGGCAAGATACGACAGTTAAGCGAATGTACTGTCGCCTAGAGTGAAATGATCCGGCTTGATAAACCAAAGAAAGAAATCACAAGAAAATCTAATCCAAGTATTTCACACACGCGCCTATCGATGTCCCCGAATTCCCTAATCCAAGTATTCCCATTTTAAACATCGATGTCCCCGAAACCCATAAACCGTGTACAGTGCACACAGCTGAGGTGAACTTCAAAGGAGCGTAACGTAACGCGGTCAATAGCGTCAATATATTAAATTGTGCGTAGACCCCGTTGACGCTGGGCGCGTGCGTGTTGCCTGCGCCCGCGCTGGGCTCGCCGGGGGCGGGGGTGCCCGCACCCCCCGCGCACCCCGCGCACCCCTCGCACCCCGCCCACCCGGCGCACCCCGCGCCCCCATGCTCCACCCTCTTCGTCGCGAACCTCGGCCAGTTCGTCTCCGAGCACGAGCTCAAAGAGATCTTCAGCAGGTACGTGAAAACGAAACCGATCCGATCGATGCTCCTGTGGAATGTATTAAAATAACTATTGGACATGTCCATTTGCGAAGGAACAGGGAAAAAAATCGCGTTCGATTTTGTTTTTGACATCAAGATGTTCTTATTCTACATTGTGGCCAAGGTTGGACAGATTGAGGTGTTTGACTTTCGGTCTATATAATAAACTATCGTGCTTTCATCAGCTTTTTGACTATTTATTTTTGGGTTGATGTTAGCCCATGCCGTAACCTCCGACGATAAATATTCATTCATCAAAATTGAGCACTGTAAAACCGGTAAAAGTACATAAATCATTAAGTCTGTTGATGAAAAAATAACAATAACCCTTGTTTCTTCAAAGATGGACAACATTTTAAAAACTTAAGGCAATTCATTTTTAGTGTCTAAGCTATTTGTTATAACATGCATGGTTAAATTCTGCATTTTAAAATGCTACATAAGGTCGTAATTTATAAAGTGAAATAGTCGTTAATTACCATTTTCATACCAATTATTTTAAACATGTATTACATTTTAAACTGTTTATATTTGGTAGAAGTAAATCTTCAGCAAAATAAAATATAGCTTATGGGAAATATCTATTTTGTCAATGACCAGGACCTTATGTACTCGATGATAATGAATTTTAATTAATTATCAATGTGAATGTATTTTCCACAGTGCATGTCGCACCGAATATCACGTTTTCGGCCATTGTTGGGCATTAATTTATGTTAAGACTTCGTTTCGACATTTCGCACAAACTTATACTTTCAAACTTTCGTCAATTTGTCCCGAATTTGTACTATTCGATTTGGAGTTTGTGTGAGATTAAGTCTGCACCCGTACCACTGTAAGCATGGCAATCGAATGTTAAAACACCTTACACATTATAGCACAATCACCAAAATCATCCAGTTCGCTTGTAATTAAATGTAACTTTAATAACTTTATGCGTCAAAAATCTAAAAAAGCGAGGACCAAACAAAAAATGAGTTTCAAGGACTTGACATGCGATACTAAATTTTTGTAATGTCAAAATGGCCTCATTTGTGTAGGCAATCGACAAACGAGTACATTAAATATAATGAGTCCACACACAGGACTACCACATTGAATTCCAATTGTTTTTAAATACTTTACAATAAGAATAAAATCTCGAAAGTTGGCACCTTTGTGTTTTATACAACTGACACGATACAAAGCCCAGAGTAGAGAGACAGGGCATTCGCTTGCTCCAAACGGGGTGGCCCGCCACGAACGCCTGACGAACTGGGGTACGAGTTGGGTCAAAACTGGGTGTGGTGGTGACAGCTGCCCCGGCTTCTCGCGGCTCCGGCTTCTGACCGGCGGCGGCGGGGGCGGCTCGGGGCCGGTGGCCTTCGCGGAGTTCGTTAGCGCTGGCGACGCGGCCGCCGCGATGGCCCGCCTGCAGGGCGCCCTCCTCCTCAGCTCTGAGGGCGCCATCCACCTCGAATACGCGAGGCATAAGTTGGCACACAACGGCTGGATTCTCGCACACGAAGTATGCACGCGCACATTCCGTTACGTTGATGGCACGCCGATCCTTTCCAATAAGCTGGGGCGACGCGCACGGCACTATATTTTTGTATTCGGAAGACTCCGAAGACAAAAATACAGAAGATGTAAAGATGTAGGAGGCAAGAGGTCTACTCTTGCTTCCTACATCTTTACATCTTCTGGATCTACATTTACAGCAGAGGTATCACTTAAATGGTACTTAGTGGTCGAGTTAGTCACTGATCAGCTCGTAGTGAACGAAAATAAAAATTTATAGTATTAAGTCTTAGCCCAATAAACGTGAAAGGTATCCGCATGTCATCAACTTTGAAGCTTTGGATCCCATAAACTAGAACCGTGTGTAATTCTAATCGTTACTAAATCTCAATGCTCCGCCGAACACTCATATGGTTTCCAAAGTAAAGACGAGGAAGAGACCGTACCGATGTTATCACACAGCACCGTGCACTTTAGTTAACGCCACTTGCCTGCTATGAAACAGTTTACATACCTATAAAATGACAATGATTTTAGTTCGCAGATAACTTCACAGTTGGGCTAATACAATGATTCGTGACCGACAGGGAGCCAAAGGCGGAGAAGAGGGCGAACAGCATTAATTCGTACGTGGCTCTCGGCACTTGACAACCAGCTAACTGAGGGACGCGCTATCTTGATCCTTTCAGTCGCAACGTAACTGCACCAACGGGAGATGGAGCATGTTGCCCATATTACTGCTGCAACGTACAAACACCGTACGGATAAATTGGATCAAGAAACGTTCTGTCAGCGACGACCATAGCTATTAGGTTACCAGTAGTCAATGCTCTCATCTCCTTGTTATATTTGTTTCTCAATTTCATCCGCGTCAAGGGTGTGGTGTACTATGTTGATACCAAAATTTAGTGTAATGGTTTTATTGTATTATTATTAACATTCCAGTTGAATTGTTCACCGTTCGCGGTTATTATTTTATTTTGAATTATTTATCCCATTCATGTATTCTGTTTTGTGTTTTCTAAAGTAATAATATTCATTTTATGTAATATAAGATTTATTTACAACTAACTTATTTTGTGGGTAAAGTTTGTATATTAGTTTCTATATGGCCGATGTATACAACTGAGAGGATTTGTTATGAATATAGTGTAATATCAGAAATTAAAACATTTTAGGATATATCACATTTGAATAAGCTAAAAACCAAAGGTGCCCTTCATAGAAAAATTACGTTTTGTTATATAATATTTCAAGTTGAATGATTTTTAATGAAGTTGTATTTAATGATTACGATACTTTTGTTTTAGTGGTGACGACGTTGGTAGTGTATTTAAATGAATTTTTCACGACTATCTCAAATTATATTTACCTAATGCTTTTCTTAGTCATTTTTATAATGTTCAATCATCACTCGTTAAAGCGCTGGCACTCTAGTGTTGGTCTTAAGATCCTTTCTGTCTGTGTATGGAATTATTGCAATAATTGTGAAATGTTTAACTGTGAAACTCGACGCGATTGGACGTGTGCGCCCCCTCGGTGTTGCTTTCTGTCGAGTGAAGTTCGATACGATACCGGGCTCGGCTGTTGAGCGCATCGTATGGGCAGATGCCCTTCTATCCCCTTATATTGGCACCTATAGCGCCAATACTTCTTGTGCCTTGTGAGAATTCTTCCCGGAGTACCGGATCACCTTTTCACTACTCGTCTATAATATTTTAATTTGTCTTTCTGCGTACGATGCGCTCCGTTCGGGCGCCGGTGCGCGTTGTTGCGAGAATTTAGCCTTGGCCTTATGAGAGTTAAATAAAACTAAATGTAATCATTATATTAATTAAAACTAGTTAATAATAATATAACGGCGACCCGCGCGCCACGCTGGATAGTGACGATTATTCTATTTGCATGCTTTGACGAGCTTTTTGGTAATAATCTAATTTAAAATATTTAGTAGTTACTTTAATTGTGTAATCATTAGTTGAATAACATAATTAGATAAGGGTATTTATTGTAGACAATCAGCATAGTTACATTACTATATAATGAAAGCTAATTCGTACATAATAATGAAACAATGTAATCAGGTTAAATTTACCGAAGTGTTAGTTTTTAATGAAATGAAGATTAATATATTTTTTATTTTTAACTAGTAGACTTATATATCGCAAACAGTTTGGATACATAGTTACCTTCTGTCTTAACTGGGTGTCGACGCAAGTACACCGCGAGCGAGGTAGCAATAAAACCAAAAAAGAAGTCTTAATGTTTATATTATAGATATTTAGTGACGTACTCTGCTGATGTAAACATGAAAAAAAAATATGAAAAAAATTAAAAAAAAATCCCTGCTTAGTCTGTAATTAATAAGGTTTCGAATATTTGGATTATGATCTTGACGCGACAGAAATGAATGAGCTATTCACGCGATCTTTGTCGTTCAAAAGACCAGTAACTCCGCATGTGAATTCTTATGAAATGTTTCTTAGTCAATATTTAATACAAATAGGAATATCGTCAATTTTTGACTTAGTGAAATTTTATACATCGTTTATAGTGATGTGAAAGTTCACACAATACCGGGCGTCGTCGCGTATAGACCAAAGATGAACGATATACATAATTTTTACTACTAACCTCATACCGTACCAAACACGTATTCTTAGGTGCACGTACCATCGTGACGGTTCGCCGTTACGTACTCTGTTATTTGAATTGTTTTCATAGGAGACATCCTTAATCAAACAGTTCGTACCAGGATGGATGCCACTCGTCGCGTCTAAGTCGAATATCTGGCCCAGAAAAATCTCCTCACAACCGTGACCAGAGTGCATTGTTTTTCGGACGGGACGGCACGTCATTTTCCCTATTATCGAAATCTCGACACCCCTCGAATCCCCGCGTCGATTCTTAGTGAATAAGCTAAGTCAACGTTTACTTATTTAATTCGATATAATGCTAATTCGTGTGTAAGTATTTGTGTAATAGTTTAGTAGCGATCTCCCGTATTTCCGGCGTGCGGCGTCCCACATTTGGAAATGCAACGAAAACTTTCATCAAATCTATAATTTCTACTTTGTTGGTATCGATTTCGTGTTGCTTCCCTCCGATTCGTCTGATTTCTAGAACCTTCTGTTTGCTCGTCTCCAGTATCGGCCACCTCTTTTGTCTCGCCCCAGTCGGTTCGCGATTCGTCGACGGACGCCGCCGTCGCCATGATTCCGTCCAACGACCGTAGATAGCGCGTAAGAGACGTCCAGTGGCTGAGGACACGGCTGCGTCACCTATTGCGGGACTACTCGATACATATCATCGTAATATTAATATGTAATTAGTGGTTAAAGATCGGTTTCATAGAGACGTCTATTCTGTACCCTCGTCTACTACTTGGTAATGCAATCTAAGGCTACATGTCGCGCTGATGTCGATTTCTACAAGACTTTCTCTCGCTTGGAAGCTCTCCTTTCGTACTGATCTCGGCTTAAATTTTTTCGTTTGATTACTTTGCGGTGTTCCTATTTCGTGATCATCCGCTGTAAAGTTGCGCGCGTCGAAAATTTTCGCGCGTACACTTAAAGTTGACAGTTAAATCGAGTGGATTGTGTTTTTGAGGTTCGTGGAAGAGTGACATTGGTCCGCATGTGATAGGCTAGTATAGGGGTGTAGCGTCGCCTTGCAAGTTAGGTTAAGTGAAGCGGTATCACACAAACACCGTGTATCGGAAACATATCAATTCTGTGCCCCTTAATAAATCTAGTTAATACTAATCTAGGAGATACATATGGATAGAATAAAGAAACAAAATAATCGTTCGGAGTATTAAATACCTGCTAAGTGTTGTTTTCGTATGTTGATGGAGTAATAATGTCGACCGCATCATTTCTTTCTATTTGTGGATTATTGCGTACTGTGCTCGAGCGGTGTCGCGCGTTTACGTTAACTTTACACGATAGATCTTTTAAAAGGTTATTTTTATTGTTAATTCTTAGACTAATTATTAATATGGCTTAATTACCAAAATAATTTCTAGCTGTTCGCTTCGGATTCAGTATTAATGATGTTCTTGTTTTTAATTTCTTATATTTTTCGGCGATAAGAGATAGCGTTGCCGGAAATGTATTTGTATATCGAGCAAAGTAAAGCATACAAAATATATAGTTAGTAATTAATTGTTAGATTTGTGTGACTTGGATTATTTAATGCTTTTAGAGCAATGGTAAAGTGTTATTGTGGTATAAGAAAAAAAAACATAATGACATTGTAAAAATAGTGATAAAAATTTAGCTTAATTACCATTATTACAACTTTTATAGATGTTCATTAATTTTTTCTTTTCTTAATTCATGGAGTTTTGTGGCATTGGAGACGTCATTGTTAATTCAAATAAATCTGAGCTCATCCTCATTCGATTTTTATTCAACTGCCAACCCCAAGATCAAGTTTCCATACACCTACACGGAGGGAAAGCGAAATCGCTAAGCAAAAGCTCTGGACTCGCAAATATTATGTCTATAGTTTGTGTCTTGTTATAATCAAGTTATTTTCGCTACAAATGATATGTTTCATGTATTTGTCATTATTCTTGTAATATTAATTAAATTATTAGTACTAAATTAATATTAGGCATCTAGTTTAGAGTAATCGATTAGATTTAACGGTTGAAAATTGCTTTGACCTGTGCTTTGTAGACTTTGCTTTCATTTATCCTCTCGTATTAGCCCACAAGGCTACTTACTCTGTTTACGGTGTTCGTGCACTTCGAAAATACAGAGAGTACTTAGATGGAAGTAAATCGGACGCAAGCACTACCAAAATTTCTGTTTCGATGACGGTTAATTTATCGCAGTGTTGTATTTATGTTATTATTAGTTTTAAAGCATTATAGGGTCCAAAGATTGGGAATAAATTTATGTGAGAAATTTATATTCTTGTTTCCTTGTCACTCTGTATTCCAGTTATCGTTAGTGGATAACGAGTTCTTCAAAATAAAGGAAAATATTGAAAATCCCGCAAAACGCTCCCGAGTAAGTAATAACCAGTAGATTTTCATTATACAGCGTGTCGTTACAACCGCGACAATAAATGAACACACATACAGAGGATAATTTTTTAAAATTTTATCAAACATTTACATTCTTTAAACATCAATATTTACCGAGTTATTAAATGTTCCAAAACAAACAATTTTAGAACACCTTACGTATAAAACGGTAACGTAAAGTTCATTTGTAAAGGTCACAAAGCATATGAATGGGTTGAATGAATTTGAAAGAGATAAGACATACTGTTAGAAGGAGAGATTTGTAGTGCGACGCTGCGGCAACGAATGAAAAAGTCTCTGAATGTATGAATTAGTCGGATGTAGTTGTATAGGGTGTTACAAATTTTGTATCTTTTTTATTAAATGAGTTTGTTTAAAATATAGATTGTATTCATTGTGGATTTTTTAACGTTTTATATTTTTTTATGACTATAGGCAAGTAGCGTTAGACGTGTGTTAATTTATTGTCGCAGTTGTAACGACACGCTGTATTTACTAGGGCTAGTATACACTGAGCACGAAGGATATAAAAACGAAGTATGTCTATGTCATATAATTACACTTATCCTAAACATAATGTCT